CTAAGTTATTATGGAAACAGCAATGGTTTATTTTCCTTTCATTATTAACTTTGCATTCATCTGAATGTTTCTGATAAACTATGAGCATTATGTGACAGAAACCCCATCTGATAAGTATTGCGTGGAATGGTTTCTATGTGCTTTTAACTTGTCTGAGAGAGAGAGAGAGAGAGAGAGAGAGAGAGAGAGAGAGAGAGAGAGAGAAGAAGGCCGAAAAGATTTGACACTATAGTAACTGTCGTTAAAGAGGACAAATACTTGAAAACGTTTTGACATAATCCTAAGTAAACTGCATCTATTCTAAATCCAAATAAAATGGTACATTATCTTTTCTCCTTGCTACTCTTAAAATTAGTATATAAAGAAATAACACAGTTGAAGCCAAAATAAATATCTCAGTGTCTCCAATCTCACTTCCATATTTATAAACAAAGTTTTAGATAGTCATGGCAACGAGGTAAAGCTGCGCTGGGAGCCACATTACCCAGCTGCAAAGTCCTGGAACTTGAATGAGCATTGTGGAGATCCAGCCTCGTCACCTTTCCCACCCTCCATCAGGACACAGGAAATGCTTTCCAAAGGGCCAGACAGGATTAGACACCATGTGAGCCAGAGTTGTCCTGCTGCTCATCTGTGTCCCTGCAGCACCCAAGCTGGTACAGACAGAAACAAATGTGATTGCCCAGGAAGAGTTAGTGAAATGTTATATTCATCTTAGGTTCACAAGTCCCTAAATATTATTCAATTGTTTTTTTTTTTTCTTTTCAATCACTTAGAAATATAAAAATCTGTTCAACTGAAGAGTATACGAAAACAGGCAGTCGGGGATGGGGGGGATTTGGTCCAGGGCCATCTTTGTGGGTCCTTTCTGTAGATTTTAGGTCACGCTCTCAACTTGTTAAAAGAAAAATATAGCCGGGCGTTGGTGGCGCACGCCTTTAATCCCAGCACCCGGGAGGCAGAGCCAGGCGGATCTCTGTGAGTTCGAGGCCAGCCTGGGCTACCAAGTGAGCTCCAGGAAAGGCACAAAGCTACACAGAGAAACCCTGTCTCGAAAAACCAAAAAAAAAAAAAAAAAAAAAAAAAAAAAAAAAAAAAAAAAAAAATATATCCTGACACTTGTGAAAATGGGAGAGACAACCTGATTCAGGATTAGAGCAGTATCGACACTATCGAATTTGTGGTATGAGAGTGCCCTCAAGCCCGGACATAAAAACAATCAGGGCTTTATAACCAGAGAGCAATATAGAGGGGTGGGAAGGTGGAAAGAGGAACCACTCTTGGCCCATTGAGTCCTACTGAAGGTAAGACAAGGTCATTTACATCAGTTGGGGGTGGGCGGGGTGCGGGGGGAGAGAATTTAGCTTCCTATTGAAATTTAGCTCTTCCTAAAGAGAGCTAATTGGTACTCTTGTAAAAAGCTGTGCAGACCCGAAGGTAACAGGGCTGGTGTTGTGGCCTGGTTAAGAGGCCTTGGAACCAGACCAAAGCTTGGCCAAGGACAGCCTTTGTCAAATCCAAGTTTCCTTACTAGTTGTCATTGATATGTGGGGTCCAGTGTGTAAAAGTCCCCTTGAAAAATCAGGTGAGAAATGATCCCATAAGCCTGCTTTTATGAGCTCAACATACAAAAATGTAGGATCCTAAAAATGTCAAACTTTCACCACAACTCATGCCCGTCTGACCCATAAAAATAACATCACCCACCGGGCCTTTCCTCACTCCACACAATTAGCGCCCTGTGAAGTAAGGAAATGGCTGGCTGGCAGTTGTCTGCACCAATGAAGTCAATGCAGTCTCATTCCTTTGCCAAAAGGCAGGGAAATCAATTGCTCATGTCTCTGCTCGTCAGGCCTACTCGAGGTCAGCTGATGTGGAACAACCAGGCAAGACAGGCTTTGGCTTCCCTGGGGACAGAGAGAGAGAGAGAGAGAC